ACAGTCTACAGTATTTTTACAGTCTTTATTTTAAAGTTAAATTATATGTTTATCAAATAAAATCTAATGTTACAACTAAACAGGGATCCCTTTAAGAATTTAAGATGGCAGCCACTCACTAGTAACTCATCAGTGAGTTAAAACTCTATTAATTTTACTTTTAATAGAATTCCTGTATTATTTATTTCAGATTCAGTCAGTCGTACACTTAGTTCTGGTCAGTGTTTAAAAGAGGACGAGTTAAAACACTGTTAAGTCAATGTTAAACTAAACATGAAACATCAAAGTTGATTACATCTGGCCCTTCAAGAGCCACCGTAACGTTCATGTGGCCCTCTGTGAAAATGAGTTTGACACCCAACAGTGGTTCCCAACCCTGGTCCTTAAGGCACACTGCCCTGCATGTTTTAGAGGTCTCCCTGCTTTGACACACCTGATTCAGATGATTGCAGTTCAACAAAAGCCTGTTAATCAGCTGTCAACTGAAATCAGCTGTGTTGAAGCAGGGAAACATCTCAAACATGCAGGACAGAGTGCCTTGAGGACCAGGGTTCCTGCGATCCTTAAAAGTCCTTGAACTCATCAATCCAAAAATAAGGCCTTAATTAGCCTTAAAAGGTCTTAAATCAATCTTTCAGAAATCTTAAAAATGTAACACATTGTAAATAGAATGACTGTAATTCTTATCAGATATTAAAATAATTGTTAACATTTATTTTTAAAATATTCAAATTTAAACATTCCCTTTTGACACCATTTACTGTTATTTCACATAAAAATATCTCAACAACCGTCCATCTGAGCAAAGTGAAATTAGTTTTGTAATTAATAATGTTGTCTTTCCAAAAATTGCCTTCATATTTCACACAAACATTTTACATCACAGTCACTTTAAGGTTTCATCTACAGCAAGCTGGGGTTGAGAACCCACTGTGGGTCCTAAAACCCCAAATTTTGGGTTGTTAGAGGACTTGAAGGAATTAAATTAAATTTAAAACTGACTGCTAAGGTTTTTTTTTTTAGCTATATTTGACAAAATAGCAGTGAGATATGGATAAAAACAATTGGTCTATTAGCAATATTTTTAAATAATTCAACCAAAAATACTTTGATTCATGAGTTTATGACAGTTTTTTTTTCATTTGTGTTAATTGTGAAATTGGTCTTAAATTTGATTTCACTTGGCATTAAAAAGTCTTAAATCTAACTTTCCTTAAACTGTAGGAACCCTGAGGACCAGGGTTGTAAAACACTGGATCCTCTGCCTCCAAGTCCAGTTTGAAAACATCCTGCTGGTTGACAGCACCAGAGGAGACCCTCGTTAGCCTGGTCCCAGACCGAGCAGAGGAGACCCTCATTAGCCTGGGCCCAGACCGACCAGAGGAGACCCTCGTTAGCCTGGGCCCAGACCGACCAGAGGAGACCCTCGTTAGCCTGGGCCCAGACCGACCAGAGGAGACCCTCGTTAGCCTGGGCCCAGACCGACCAGAGGAGACCCTGGTTAGCCTGGGCCCAGACCGACCAGAGGAGACCCTCATTTGTCCAGACTGACCAGAGGAGACCCTGGTTAGCCTGGGCCCAGACCGACCAGAGGAGACCCTCATTAGTCCAGACCGACCAGAGGAGACCCTGGTTAGCCTGGGCCCAGACCGACCAGGTGAGGCTGTCCAACGATTGTTTTTGTCACAAGTTTTTCAAAGCCTACTTTGACTTGTGTTGAAATACGTGAATAAGAAAAACAGATAACAGGTGTGGGTGTAACCATGTGTTTTCATGTCAGATTAATGAAGAGGCGGGGTGTTTGGGGGGGGGGGTAATCAGCTGTTTGTCTGGAGATGCAGCTCAATGGGCTTTTGTGTTATCTGTTGTGTAAACGCTACAAATAAACAACTCTGAGCCCCGGGCCAGGGGTTAGGACCAAGGACCAGAACAATGGAGGTGGTGGAGGTGGCGTCTAATCATGACTCAATTAACAAGCATTAAGTCATTTGGGTCTAACAGACCAAAAACTGGGTTGTCCATTCACAAACACATCGTATGCCACTGGCAAAAATAACATTTGATT